ATTTCATCATGGATCTTCTAATCTCAGGTTCTTATGACTCTATATATGTGATAGTAAATCGTTTTACAAAGATGGCATATTTTGTACCATGTACAAAATCCATCACGAGTGAAGAAAAATCTAAGCTCTTTTTTGACAATATCTATTGTTGTCATGGATTACCCAAGGATATTATATCAAATAGAAAAACTCAATTTGTATTAAGATTTTGGTGGACTCTTTTCAAGATTCTAAAAGTACATATAAAACTATCTTCGGCATTCCATCCTCAAACTGATGGACAAACGGAGCATATTAATCAAGTTTTGGGGCGATATGTAAGATGTACCATTAACTACCAACAAGATGATTGGACAACTCTTTTGCCATTGGTAGAGTTTGCTTACAATAACACGGTGTCGTACTGTAATTACTTACAGTATGTAAAAATTAGTGAAAACATGTAATATGTTTATAAGTCTTAATGTGAGTTAGAATAGTTAGTATGTTAATTTAAAATGAATTGAAATAAGAAAAATTATTTGGAAGTTAATCTAGTTTGATCATAGAGTTTATATTATATAGGATTTAGTTAGTTAGTATAAAGACTAAGGGAAGGGAGGAGTTAAAAGATGAAAATATAACTAGAAGGAGGCTTATTGGGAAGGATGAAAGTAAGGCATGGTTGGATGAAGGCAAGGGATGAAGAACTTCATCCCTATTGGTCGAATACCATGCCCAATGGGCTTTGAGGAGGCTGCCTGAGGCCATATTAGGAATTAGGGTTCCTCTTTCGAGGCCATTCGAGCTTTTGAGGCTAGGATCAGAAGGTTTATGGTTTTGGGTATAATTTGGGTGACGATTTTGTGTGATTTCGATTTTTTATGGAAAAGATATGAATGTTCAAAGATAAGGTGTCAATTTCGTACCTACTGTCACTTTTTTTAGGCATCACATACGAATACGGAGAGCAACGGAAGATCGGCGACTGGATTTGGAGGGAGGATTTTCTCGGCTACACATTCTACTTACTGTATAGTGAATTCTAAGATTGAGTAAAGGAGTTATGAGGCGTTGAAGACAGCACTTGTAATTTGAAGGCAGTAAGTATATCGTTTTGTTGCTAGTTATGGGTGAAGCCATATCTTGAGTTTCTGGACGAATTTTTGGCTCAAAATTTCCACAAGTATGTGTAATTGGGTTAAGAAGCTTTAGATTAAAGTTTCATAGTATTTGAATAATTCCTTTGTGAGATATGAAAGAAGTTGTACACGGGTGTAAAAAAGCTAGGGTTTGAAGCTACAGTTAGGGTTTTCAAGATATCACAAGATCCAAGACGAATTTACGGTTGAATTTTGATGTGGTAGTTGCTAAAGATATATCAGTAATCCATGTAAAATTTGGAGTTTTTTAGACGGTTAGATCGTAAGTTATGAGCTGTTGAACTTCAAGAAAAATTCCTCATAAGGATATATAAGTTTTTTATAACACCTTATCAAGTATTTTGGTGTTCTTTGGATTTTAAGGCTTGTATATTGATGTAATTGCTCCAAAGGAGAGGAGTTTATATATATAAAATTTTTACCCTTATATTTCAAACTTGATTGAGTATTTAGTGACAGCCAGAAGCCCAGCGCTTTCTTGAGGCAAACTCTCTCTACCCCGACAACGGTTTATTCTTCTACAAAACAAACAGCTTTCTTTATTAGTTATGGTTATCATCTACGATTTGATACTTTTGACTTTTCAAAAGTTGAAAATCCTGCTGTGAAACATTTGGTAATTCATTTGTCATAGCTACATGCAACGATGAAGGCGTAGTTAAAAGAAGCTCAAGAACAACAAAAGGTCAATGCGGATGTCTATTGAAAGGAACAACCACCATTCCACGTGGGTGATAAGGTATGGTTACATTGTCGCAATATCAAGACCACTCGTCCTTGTGACAAGTTGGACTATCGAAAGCTTGGACCATTTTCTACTTCTGCACAAATCAATCTAATTGCATATCGTTTACATCTATCGGAGTCAATGAACATCCATATAGTATTCTATGTGTCTCTTCTTGAACCATACAAGACAGTGGATATACTAAGAAGACGACAAGCTCCACCTCTTCCTATAGAAGTAGACAATAATGAAGGGTTTGAAGTAGAAGAAGTTTTAGATTCAAGGCAGCGCCAAAATAAGTTAAAATATCTTATCCATTAGGGCGAATATAATATTAGTGAATGCACATGGGAGCCAATAAAGAATCTTCCAAATGCAATAAAGGCGGTGGAGGCTTTTCATCAATGACATCCATCAAAATCAAGATGAAAACCTTCTTTATAAAAGAAACAAGATCTAGGTAAGATATCATTCTACTTTCAATCTTTGTTTGTAGCTTCTTTGTAGTTGTGATGCTCAAGAGATAGAGAACTAATAACCAGTGGATTCGACTCAAGAGCCTTCGTTTGCTGACGTACCAGATGAGACATTATAATTGTCTCAACCTTTAAGATGATGCAATCGAGATGAAGATCTTCAAGAACGACATGTTCTTCCTCGAATAGATGGCGAAATACAATGCATTTGATATCACAACCTTGGAAGGGACTCCCAATGTTTGGTGATTTTACTAGAGGTAGGAATAACTCCTAATGGTGTTCCAAATATTTTATTCGAAAGAAGTTATGAAGGCCTCAACAATGATCAAATAATTGGGTGGTCTTTCCGCTCTGGTATGGAATACTACCGATGGTTGAGAGGCCCTATCAATCATCTTCAAAGAGAATAAAGATCAGAGTATGTGGAGAATACAATTCGTCGCATCATAGACTTCCTCAATATATGATGACCGCTCCTTGTGGAACTCGTTCCTAGAAGGGGGAGTAATGTTATAGACATACACATGTAAGCCAATTATTACATGTATAAATAGGTAGAAGTGAATAAAAGTAGGTAAAAATAAGTTAATTCTATAGTATTTGATATCAAAGCTTCCTAGAAGCTTCATAGACCCTGCTTTGACTTTATAGGTGTCTTTAATTGACTTTTTGGGATTAGAAATGTGGTCAACAAGTTGGCCATGTGCCACACATGTTATCAGCTTGAAGACCAAGCTAACAATGTGGCCCACACGTAGAAAAACTTGCCTTATAAGTCAAGGCATGTGTCATACAAAGTCAATATATATTGGAGGTCCTATAGAACGTCGCCATGTAGCCCCTAGTTAGATAGTATATAAAGAGACAAGAGTGAAGCCCTCTCCACTCTTGTCAATTCCTTTCTTGCTTCCAGTCTAGTTTCAAGGGTCTCTAGTTTTCTTGGCTTTTGGCAATAGCCATTCCAGTTTTTTTCTTAATATATATATATATATATATATATATATATATATATCAAATTATTTCTATTTTGTCATCTTTCTGTGAGAGAAGTCTCACTTGTTTATTTGGCTTTGTCATGTTCTTGTCCTTGATACCAATCCAATACTATTTCTTGAATATTACTTAGAAATTTATATGAAACAGATTTGAGTGTGACTTAAGTTGGCATCTTTATATTGACTAATCTACTTGGGTCAAACTCTAAACTCTGTGGCTAGAGAATGCACATCCTTCACTTAGATAGGTGAGATGTGTGCAAAAGCAGTTTCTACAAAGATGCTTCATCTTGCTGATTTGGAAGAATCCATGACCTAAGGTTTTGCAGAGTTTTGGATAGTTGCAACTCCTCCTTAAGGCTTCTAACCAATCCTATGTTTTTTTCACGGTTTGATGCCCTTAGACAAAATAGAATGTGTTCCATTTCATGTTTCACCTTGTCAATTTTAACCTTTACTTCTACCACTCTTATTCAAAAGAAATCATGCCCTATTGAGGAATAGCCTCGTCCAGAGTTGTTAGCCAAAGACGCTCGAGTAGGATGTATGGTTGCATATATGCCTAGATTGGTTGTCGCAGCCACAAGCTCTAGTTTCATTTTGTCATCATGACTAACACATTAAGCCTGATGTCCTTCTTTTGACTCCGTTGGGGTGACTGGTGTGTGGGCCCTCATCTGCTACCCACCGAGCTATGTTGTGTGCAACAGTCCGGCCTCCCCTCCAGTAGTTGCATGTCTTCTTGTATATTGTGTTAAAAAGTTGCTAACCCTAAAATTAGGAATCCTAATATAATCAGTCCTACCACTAATCACTCCCTGTCCCTCCGTTGAGTTGTGGCCAAGAGTAAGAAGATGATCTGATATCTTGCTCTGTTATGGTTGAACGCGTAATACTTTAGGACACAATGTTAGACCTTTCGCACTCACGGCAGCTTTGCGCGCCAGCGTGAAGAGCCATCCCGGAGCCTCAACGTGTCCAAATCTGAATGCATGAGTGGCCAATTTTGGCGAGTTCAATGATTTGAAAGGGTTTTGAATAGGTTTACTAGTTCACATTGTCTGCCCACGGCTGATTTTCGGGCACTTTGTCTGCAAGACTAGGTTTCTACATCACTATTCTCAACAAATTCTTTATAAGAAGTGGTATTTTTATGTAACTCTAAGATGACAGTGATGACAAACTGCGATGAACTGAGGATATTGAAAAATTAAATTTTAGTTTATTCGACGTCATGCTTTTTCAATTTTTCCAGTCAGTGATAACTGGATCGCAATATTTCGCACCTAATAGACTCGTAACATCTGTCCTATTTACAGCATCCAATTCAGTATAAGAAAGTAGTGTAAAAATAAAGATGCCTGTACAAACTCTGAAAAATGATGGTGGAAGCCCTAGCTCAGCTCTGCAAACTTGGTTCCATAATTGCTAAATTAATGAAGTTCCAAATAACCCAAAAAAAGAAACTTTGATAGTCATCGACCTTCTGACTCCGCACACCCCCTCAGGATCACAGAAAATGCAGCAACACACAGCGAATCATTCCAATTTCAGACACATTTCTCAAGCAGGATTGAATTTGGTTGAAGGAACAATCAGTTTCTCTGCATGAACTGAAGTTTTCAGTTCATACAGAGCCAACATGGGACACACTGGATGCTGAAGAATGTGATGGCCGAAACCATTCCAAATCAATGGAGAATGTTAGCATTACAGTGTGTTGTGTTAAGGGTAACGTCCCCATAATCTCTTTGCTGGTAAACAAATTCGTGATTCCTAAAAAAAACAAGCCTGCTCATCTCTCAAAGGCCGCGTCTAAGCTTTTTATGAGACTACTTCACATGTTTATCTGCAGGACCTTGGCACGCAAAGAGCGTTTATTGGGTGTAAAAATAGTGGGAAAAAAAATCAAGAACAGTCTCTCAGTGGCTCACTCGCCAAATCATTGTCGGGGTGATTCGGCTCCTTGCATGTATAGCCTCAATGCCTCCAACAAATAATCATGTTTAGAGGACTGTTCTCCAAATGCACGTGAAGTCCGGGAGTAAAACTTACTCACCAAGTTGATGGAATGGAGAAAGTTCTGTGGGCGCGGCTGCACTCAGCCAGAATTCCAGAAGCAAGCGACGATGAGCAGAATGGCCGTAGTCCAGCAAATGTATTGATTCATGTCGGCGTCACTCAATTCCGGCGGTGACGCCGGTGGGGATGACAGAGGGATTCCTACGGCAGCAGGTAGTACGGTGGCCGAAATCTTCTGACCCTCCAAGCAATGACCCGAGACAGTGCAGACAGCATAGAGCATTTTGCCTGACAGGGATTCTGGGATTATCATCTGGAGGTCACACATCCACCGAGCATTTTTAATACAGTCCGAAAGCAGAATTAATTTATGGCTTGGCACGGAGAATGCACGAAATAATCATTGATTCGGTTTGATTGCAAATAGCAAGGACTAAGAAGAAGGTTGAGAGATTAATTTTACCGTGTAATTTTCCCCCGGTCTTGCAGGGTGGGTAGCATTAGGTTGTATTCCTCCCAAGGTACACCTTTGGTAAGCATCGAGGGAGTCGAGGAGGCTGACGGTGTGGTACTCCGAGTCAGGGTTAAGAAAAACTGCACAAGACCAAAAGATGGCATCAGCAATGATCTGCGACAAGAAGAAGACGGGTTAGGCTTCGGCGAAATCACATAACACGAAGCAACACAGATGGGTTTGCAGCTATTGAGACTGACCGAGAGAATCCCCAACTCGTGGTCGAAAATTCTGGCTTGCAGCCCAGGCATCGTAATCAAACCCAGTGGTCCACCCCTTTGTGCCGCCCACAACTATCTCGACGCATTCCGAAACTGACACGGCCAGGAGCAGCACAGCCAGCAACAGACGCACAGAATTCCCCCTCATCTCGACCGACTGCAGACAGATCAGAGGAAACTCGACGTTTTTTCAATCACAGAGCAATACAACCCATATTTGTCAGCCTTGAAAACTCGACTACTTCGTGAGTCACTGCCGAAGGCGAGATTCCGTTAGAGCTTGGATGAGGGGGCAGGCCTCCTAAAATTTCTGTAGCTAGTTATGTTGACAGACCTCTCTTCCTGTCCTTCCGCGCGTTTTCTCCGGTTACACTTGCTTCGAAACCCCTAGAGCATATCGCGTCGCGGCTCATACCAAAATAAGCCAGAAGAACACAACAGGTAAGACCCATCCTACTGGCTACAGGCATAATAATCCTTCAATAGAACCTGAACCTAAAAGCGGCACAGCGGAATCTGTGGCGGAGGAGAATTGATCCTACACACCCGGCGAAACAGTAGCCATAGGCAGGATGTGAGAACTTTAGAACGTTCTACCCTAGGCTAGATTCCTCACCGCGGTGACAAACCCATCGACTTGACCAGAATGCCAGTTCTTCAGAACCTGACAGGGATGGCTCGTGCTGCAGGGTCACGACTCGACCACGCACGCACACACTCGACCACGCACGCACACACTCGACCCCGTACACACCACGCACTCGTCGCGACGCTGCTAACTTGGCAGATGTTTGATAATTTTAGAGGGGTTTTTGAGATGACTAATGCAAGGCTTTCGAGTTTTGTGAGTGATATCTTTGTCATGACAGACGCCGGAATGTTTACTTGCCATTGCGCTCAATTTCCAGTTTTTTGTGGAAAAAGCGGATGTTTGTGTAAAAATATATACACATACGTTATTTCGTTTATAATTTAGAATGTAGAATAGTTGGCCATGGGAATAATATAGTTGTATCAATGAAAAGTTAATAAATGATTCCATTGTTTTCTTGTTTGTTAAATCGCTTAGATTTGTTATTTATTTGAGAAATAGTCATTACTTATGTTTTGCTTATTGCCAATGTCTAATAGACTATTCAACATGATATGTGTGCATGTATGATGTCACACACTTGTAACGATTTTGGTTCTATAATAATAATGGAAGAACATCAACAGGCAGTATTGCTGAATGAAACATCGTACATGTATTTGCACATGTTTGTATAAATCACAAGCAGGATAACACATTGCAATTTGAGATTAAAAAGTGTTGTACAACATAATTATATATCTATAGATATGGAAACTATCATATACGTTTTTTCAGAAATAAAAAATTGAGATCTAAAAGCAATCTCAAGAGTGCCAAATAACTATGATATTTTTATTTTATGAAATTATATATAGAACCTTCAGATTTAACTTCATAAAAAATTGTTTGCAAGTGCTGTAGTTTAGAATTTTAACATTAATTTTACTCTATTTCATAACTCCATTCTATATTCAGAAATATAAAATTTCACTGTCAATAAATTGGTTAGAATAATAATAAACTTCTGTTATTTCTTCAGATATAAAATTTATCATATTAAACTGTTACAAAAACTCATCAATAACCAACAACCTTCAACTCTAACTGGTTTAATCAAGTGATGATGCTGAATAAACTACATACATACTTGTTTTTCATAAAGTTTTAATCAACAATAATTAAAATTTTCTTTTATGCCAAATGTCTCAATTCTACATCAACATCTCTAAAATTACAGTTATGTAACTTAAATAATTACATATATAAAAAAATATTCAATATTACCATTTGATATTTTTTTAATATTTAAAGGTATTTTTTAACTTTTTGAAATTTTATAAGGTTTTGAAATTTAGAAAGAAATCCGTAATTTTGTTTCAATAAAATTAAATAAAAAATATTCGATATCATTCAATGATTATGTATTTTTACAGTATTGCAGAAACTTCTAAGATTTATTTTTGATTTTTAAGTGCCTTTGTGTATATCATGTGGTCATAGACTTTTTTCTTGTAAATTTCTTAAATTTAATAATTTACTAAAAAAATATATCTTATAATCTAGATACTAGCTTCACAAGCCTAGTGGTTCTTAGAAAACTTTTATATGGCTATTTTATAAGTTATTGTATGTGGAAGAAAAAATAAGATCATTAATACTTTTTAATAAAGATATTTGTTTAACTACCTTTTGTTTAATTAAAATTGAAGTAAAAACTCTTGCTTTAATTTTAATTTTTTTAGCAATTATTACACAACGTTACTAAGGATCAATTACAAAATTTCTAAAATTTTCAAAAAGATTTATTGTTAGAACTTATTACAAAGTTAATAAATAATATTAAAAATTATTTATAGTTTAAGGTATTTATTAGGATTGTTTTTGCTAAACATATCTTGAGATCTATCAATAAATATGTGTGTTTTGTATTTTATTTTATTTCAGATTATAAATTTATAAGTATCAGATCCAATAATAAAATGAATGATAATGCACACACGATATTTTTAATTCAACTTAAATCTTAGAAATAAAAAAACTTTATTATACAATTTTACTGTGCACTACAAAGCATAACTTCTTTATTAATTTTATTGTAAATTAATAGATTAAAATTTATAACAAATTCCAAAAAAGAAGTGAAATTAATTATTAACTATTCATAATAAACTTAAACATGTGCCATGTTTATCCATATTCTAAAAAAACGTGAAAATATCTGATACTTTCAATTACCAACAACGATGTAAAATAAGAGAGCCTTATATTATGCCATTATATAAAAAATGTGGTTACTTGCTTTCAATTTTGTTCTTCTAATGTCTTTTGTAATGATAAATTCTTGATAAGCTGCTACATAATTTTTTTGAGTTTTTAATCAAGAAAGCCAAGAATGATTGCAAAAGCCAAAAACTTTATAAAAGCCAAGATCAAATACATGTTAAAATTTTATTTGCCTTTTGAACAAAAAACAATTTATATTTTACATAATCAGGATACTGTGAAAAAAACATTACTAACAATTTAATTTTTAAAACTATTCAATATTTTGAAAATGATAAACATAACCCTTTTAATACTGAATTTAGGTGTAAAATACTTCATTAATAATTTTACCAGTTAAATGCCAATTGTATTTTTGGAAGACATGAAAATATTATAACATAAACCACTATTGTAATTGCAATATTCAATTTAAAAATTCAGTAATTTTTTGAGTGATAGAGCAAAGCACAACAAGAAATAAAAGATCTATTAATCAATATTATACTTTATGTATAATAAGAAATAATCACTTATGTTGTCATCTACAATAAATTCCAAAGGACACAATCTAATGTAAACATTAACATGATAAAATTTTACTTGCTTCATGAACGATGAAGTGAGGAAGGTAATCAATTATCATTTATATATATATATATATATATATATTTGATTTTTGTCATTTCACAGGTAAGCACTACTCAAAAACATAACAATTGAATAAGACCACTGTTAAATATCAATACTACCCTGATTTGATGTATTATCGAAGTATAATTGCGTACCAGCTCTGTGTTCCCGTACGGCCATTCTAATGTTTCATGGAATCTTCAGGATTCCAACTTTTAGTTGCTTTCTCAGATACATGCTGAATAATATTAAATTGTACCCGTAATACTAGATTGATGACAAGTTACTCTTTGAGAAATAACAGATTCTTTCTATTTATTATTGCATGAGTAATTTAATAACAAATCTGATAACTTTGTAATTTGTTTTCCTTCATGATTTTGATTTTGAAATACTCAAATCTAGAATCTTGCACTAGGTTTTACTTGAATCGTCTTGGATTTTCTAACCTTTTTACAAATTTCAGCATGATATATTTTGAAATCATTGTTGGCAAACTTTTGGTTTGCAAATATGCAACATGATCCAAATTAATCTACACCTAGTGTTACACATAGTTTATTTCAGAGCATACGGTTTGTATTTGAAAATGCATCTCCCATTTATAAATGTACACTTGACATCACAAAAAATAAATATCTCTATACATACACCACAATACAATATACAAAATACTTGTCCTTATACAAGATCTATGTGATAAATGTTTGACTTATGCTTTAATATGACACAAATATTAAAGATTAACAAATAAATGTCAATTGTATTAATTTCAGTTGACATCTTTTAAAAATCTAGTTTACTTAATCAAATGTATAAGCTTCTAAAATTATAATATTCATGAGTAAATTGCCTAAAAAGTGATAAATTTGATTATTAAATCAAAAAGTATAAAAAATAGAGTTTAATACTAAAACATTATCCAAAAAGTTAACAAATAGTTTAAAATTAAAAAAAATTACTAAAGAAAATAAGATAAATATTAATTTTTATCTCTAATTTATAATTTAAATTATAAATTCAAAACTTTTATTAGTGTAAATGTGATCTATAACAACACTCAAGTGCTAAAAACCTTCTATGTGCTCTATATAAATAAAATCAACATTCAATTAATAGTTCATCTTTATTTAATATCTCAATACATCTTAGAATTATAATATTTTTTTGTAAATTGACATTGCTTTATAGATGGTAAAGTCTTAGTTCTAGTCATATCTAAGATTTTAGAATAGTATCACCATATTAAGTATTCCAATTGTACTTAATAACAATATTATTCTACAAAATGTACTACATAAAGTAGTTATACTAATACTTTCTTAGTGACTAAGAAACAGATTTCACATTACTAAAGCAACCAAATGATACTACTTTCTATGAAGGAAACTTATTATTACATAAACGAATAAATAAACAAATAACTATATATATATATATAGATGCAAATAAGTCCAACAATTCTAATAGTTGCAAAATGTCGAGAATTGGTTGATACTACACATCCTACACAAGTTGCATCTTCTTCTATTTTTTTTTAGTTCTATTTAATAATGCATAAAATAAAAAACCACCATTTCTATCTGGTACTTAATGTAATCCTTAAATAGAAGATTAGCTAAAGCTTTTATTGTTATTACATATTGATTCTAATAACAAAATTAATGTTGTTACATGTGTCTTTAGCAAGTGTTAGTTACTATAACATCTTACATACATGCAGTCAAATCATTGAATAAGCATTTGTGGAACTTGTATGTCCATTAGCTTTGAGAATAACAAATAGGATACTCCTCCTAACAAGTAGCAGAGGAATTGCAACTTTATCTTTAGGAATGTTGCTACAGGTGGATTTTCTACAACATAGAATGTCTTACTACACCACAAAGACATCTAACAACCTTAAGCATCCAACAATCATATACAAGCATATACCAAAACAATTTTGGTAACAGTTCAAGTTCTCAATATTCATCACAAATTGATTGTGGGATTCATATAAATAAAACAGCCTTAGTTTAAAGATCATGCTTTCCCAACAATTAAGCTTCTTGCAAGCAGTA